TCTGTTACCACAGCACTTTGCTTGCAATGATAATTACTTTTATATTTTTAAGGTTTTCTTTCCTTTCTCCCTCCTTTTCTCTTCTTTAGTTCTGTTTTTCTTTATTAATATTTTTCTGCTCTGAAAGTTCCCTTCCATGGCTAAATCCTGGGTTTCGTTTGAAATTTTGCTCTCTCTCTCCAACTATTTTCATTTAGCATTGAAATGGTCCACTTTTCGAGGGAGTTCCTTACCAGTCCTTGAGTCTGTCAACAGCCTAGAGATGGGAATCGGGGGGGCCTTCAGGAGTAGATTTAGATTTCCACAGTCAATTTTAATCCTGACGAACAATCTCGAGTTAGATGACCCTTACCATCTGATCATCGACTTTCAGTAACTAATTTAAAATTGGAAGGATCAAAACTCGCGAGTCAGCCACTTTAGCCATTGGCTTATGTTGGTAAATTTCATTTATCTAATACTCATTGTTAGTTGTCGTTCTAAGCCAATCTGAAAGACCGAGAGGAAAATTGATATGATCATAGCCATTACTTTTGATTGCTTCCAACAAAATTGATGGTTGTTATCATAACTTGTTGATGATTGTCGAAGACCACAAGAATTGAGATGTCCTTGACAAGTATCAGGCATCATGAGATATTATATTCAAACCATGCTTTTTAAAAAAAAAAACAAATTAGTTTTAAATTAGTTTTTTTAATGTTTTTAAATTTTTTTAACGTGTTAAAAAAAATATTTTTTATATATTTTTATATAAAACACATTTTAAAAAAAAATTATACTACATTCTCAAATATATTATTAATATATTAGAATTTACATTAACTGGTGGGATCTTTGTTCGTAGAAAAACTATAACTGTATTTGTTATTATAGTACAACTATATTTTAAAAAAGTTCTGAATTTTTTATATACTTTAAAATTATATTAATATACTGATGTTAAAAATAAATTTTAAAAAATAATATATATATCACTTTAATACATTTTTATATAAAAATATCTTAAAAAGTAATCTTTGCAACCCCTATAAACAGCACTCTTAAACAGATGATAAAACCAATCAAAGTTGTTGAGAACTGATCAGTATTTTACCAGTAATGTAATTATGACGGTTTTCTTTTAAAATTGTGCCAGTTTCCGAGGTTCTCTGAAAACCCATCTGCAAGGGTAACATGCATTGTTTTGTTAGGTGCCGGCCATGCATTACAGGGTGAATTGGGCAGATTTCATTGCGTGATTTAATTTGTTAGAATCTATATGAACATAGAATTTTCCTCAACTTCTTTTGGTTGATATGGTAGGTAAGGCCATGCAATTCTCATCATTAGTGGTATAGTACTCTTCAATCATCTAATTTCAATGTTTGGCTGGCTCGGACTCGACTCTAATCTAGACCACTAGAAAAACTACTGTCACCGCTATTTTGCTCTTCCTTCGCTGGTGTTTGGCATTCCTGGCATGTGTTACAAAAAAAATCCGGAAAAAAAAAAAAAGATAAATGCAAACTAACTGTTTTCAAATTGGTTGGTGCGTGTTTTCAAGGAAGTGTGGTGGCAGTCGGTGTGTGAAACAGTGCTGTAGGTTGCGTGGCACATGGTTCGGCGAGTGATGATCGCAAGCGTGGTAAAATTCACGGAATTAATTAGTGATTCTTGCGTGCAATGCAGTGAAATTCACTCAGCTCGAGAACATAATAGTTTAAAACAGTCTTATGGTAAAAAAGAAAAAAGTAATTTGTTCATGCCTTTCGCACTAGTCAGCGAAAAATACATATAGGGTATTTATTTTTAATTTAGTTTGGTTTTTATTAAAAAATAGTTAAATTAAATTTTTAAAAAATTAAAATAAATTTAAATTGATTAATTTTGGTTTGATTCAGTTATTTTAAAATAAAAACTAACTTAAACTATTTTTTTATTTGGTTTGATTTTTTTCTAGTTTGATTTAGTTTTTTTAGTTTAGTTTTTTTAATTTAGACTTATAAAACCAAACCAGTTAATTTTTTTAAAAAAATAATTAATTATTTTTACAATTTAATTTTTTCAATTATTTTTTCTGATTTTCTCAATTTAATTAATTTTTTAATTTTTTTCTCATCATATTAAATCATTTTGAATTATGGGGGAAATGGAGGGGTGTTTCTTCTTTTTCTCGAATTGATCTGCTGTCTCATTATTATTATTTAAAAAAAAAAGATATGTACTACCGGGATTCTCGACGCCTTTTGACGGTGATGCATGCTGCACGCCGGTGGAATGCACCGGCAGTCTTATTTTTGCCTATCTTCAAATTTGGGCAGCCAGGACTCATTATCATTGCTGGAGTTCGAGAGGGTGCCATCCAAGTTACAACCAGCTAGCACTGCCACGTTCGAAATAATTCACTCATTTTGAGCTAGATAGTAGAATGGTTCATATATTTTAATTGATTAAATGTAAGGTTGTTTTGCTAATCTGGTTACCTGATAATTTAAACATTTGACTACGTTGTTTCTTAGGTTTCAATTTTATATAGCAATTAACCATGAGAGGGACGAACCAAGAAGAAAAATGCCGTACGTGTTCCTCGTATTCATGGATTTAGGATAGAAAAATGCCGTCCGTGAGTTCCCTCGATCGGAAGAAAATTCGGCGAAGTCTCAGTTCGACGTTTGGGCATGCAATTATCTATCTTAAATCAAATAGTGGTTGATCCAATCCTCACACTCATCTAGATCGAGGACACGGTTGATTTTCTCGTGGAATTAACATATCTATCCTATGTTCCAAAACGAAATATAATTATATGATTTTTTTTTTTTTGTCTACAGATTCCTTTTCGAAATGTTCCAAAACGAGATATAATTATATGATTTTTTTTTTGTCTACAGATTCCTTTTCGAAAACCCTGTTTTCCAGTAATAATAGCTTACCAGCCGATTTTATTTCAGATGCATAATGTCAATTTATTATAAAAAAAATCAACACGTTTTCATTCATTCACACGTGTGATGTAATATAAGAGCAAAGTTTAACTTTGCTTACTTTAATGTTATAATTATCGAATAATGGGTAATCTGAATTAATTTGGACCGATCTATTGATCTAAAACAATATCATTTCATTTTTTTTTAAAAAAAAAAATTACTTTGCTTTTAAAAAGTTAAACCAACTCTTAACTAAGTCACTAGTTGATTTTTTGAGACAATCAAATATATTAACTTTAATATAATTTAGTTTAAAATTTGATTGATGGGCTAGGATTTATTAGTATTTCTAAAACAATTTTTCGTTGGTCAGAATCTATTAATAAGCTAGCCCCGAAGGGAATTCAGAAAGTAATTAGAGCCCAAGCACAAAGATGGCCCCAACATCTAGCGCCACTTAGCTAGGCTCCATTATACGTGTGTAGGCCTCAAGCTCGGGTCCTTGTGCCCCGCCCCAGGCACTTGCTTGAGGATCATAGGCTTAGTCATGACACCTTAACCCAGCCATCATCAAATCAAATACATGTATAGAGTCTATAAACCATGCCATGCGCCCTGACCTGACACTTATTCTCTTCGGATTTTTATTTTTTTAATCAAACCTAGTCAATTTTGTCTGGATCTTACTAAATTTGTATTTTTAGGTATACATAACATTGTTTCGGGGATTTAATGTTTTTTACTATATCTATTTAAAAAACGAATTTTTTTCTTATTTAAAAGATTTCGAGGAAATTTATTTGTCTATTTGTGAAAATGTTTTTAAACCAATATTCAAACATAAAAACATCCTATTTCTAACCATCGTTAAATCTTGAAACATCATTATTGAACTAGAAAAAAAAAGTTAAGTTGACAAGATTATCCTGTTAACCCGCGAGAACGGCGAGTTCAACAACACTACATAATATCTGCAGTGTATGATATATAATATTCAAGTGCAGCAAAATATTATACACAGAGCCGGTCTGGAGCCCAGAAAATAAAAGGCACGATTCAGGACTTTTAGTGGTGGGAATCATTTTTCTAGCTGGACAAGAATACATGTACAGGCCCTACGGGCTATGGAGAATAATCGACTTTTGGTATAGTTAACTTTAATTGTTTTAAAAAATAAAAAAATAAAATAAAAGGTGAAGGCAGTACTCCGCGGGGGTGGGGGGGATCTCACCGCTTTAAGTACAGGAACCACCAATCAAAACGGTGGGGAATCAGCCTCCAGCAGAATTGACGCGGCGGAGGCCCATTATGTGATATCCTTTCAAGAAGTGTTTGGGTACAGGGGTAGAAAAGCCTGTCTGAGAAATAGATGATGCTGCTTTCCTTCTCGCCTGACAACACCTCTTCCGTTTTAAAAAATTCAAAGCATTTTCGCTGGAAGGGATTCACTTACAAAGCCCATCTTATAGATTATTTTTTTTTTTTATTTTGAGTTGCTGGTAAGGTACTAAAATATAATTTATAATATTTTTTAATATTATAATATATTACAAAAATAATAGATTTAAAAATGTCATGAAATATAAACACAAATTAGGAATTATTAAACTTTGAAGAATATATCAAAAACTAACTCTAAAATATAAAATATAAAAACAAATTAAACTAATTTCCTCCCTGGAATATGTAAACGTGTAATGATTCTCCAATCCCACTGTATATATGGGAGTTCAAATTTTTTTGATATCACATGGAGAAATTAATTATTGTTGTTTATATTTTATCCTCAATGTATATTGTCTCCAGTTTTTTATTGGTAATTTGAAAAGTGATAAAGGATAATAATAAAAAAATGTAATAGTTTAAAGTCAAAATGGCTTATTAATTTAGTATGTGTCAAGATGTTTTTATAAAAATATTTTTTAATAAAAATGTATTGAAATATTTTTTATATGTATATTTTTCTAATTTTTTTTATTGTTTTCTCTATTCACAATTACTAGAAAATACCCCCACCAATGAATTAAGTCCCCGTTTTAAAAATAATTAGTTAGTACAATCGAAATTATAAACCTTTGCTGGCCACGCGTGTAAAGTATCCAAACAGACCCTAGAAACCTAGCACAGCGCCCCGCGTTACAAGTCACAAAGAAATAGCGGTGTTGGGGGCAGGGAGAGTGAGAGAAGGGGCAGTGCAGTGGAAAAAGTGAGAGAAGGGGCAGAGAAAATGGAGGTGGACAAAGTAGAGACACAACAACAACAACAACAGAAACAGAAACATGTACATCTGTTTTACTGCGTGGAATCCGAAGAGCTTGCCCGTAATATTGCCGCTCGCTCTGAACTCATCACACTCCAATCCATCAACTGGAGGTCCTTCCCTATCTCCCTTCCCCTCTCTTACTGCTCATATTCATTATGTTCTGTTCTTTGTTCTGTGTTTACTTTTATTTTCGTTCTTCATCCATGAATCTGATGTGGGTATTTGCTGTTTTAGTCATTTTCTTTGTTCCCTGATAAAGAATACGCCCCTTTTCTTGAAGTGTTCGACTGCACATGGAATTTGTTTTGTCATAAATAAATTCTCTTTCACAGTTCTAGAAATAGAGAGTTTACTGTATAAATTCACAACCATTATGAAAAAAACTACAACATTATCTACTACTGTGGAATTATAAGTTTTTTTTAGTGTTCCGGGGGACTGCTGGAAATATTACTTCTGAATGTGAGTCATTCTATCTATTCTGTTTGAATATTTCCCTTAACTTATTGTTCAGTTTTCATATCGCATTCAAACAAGTCTTTGATTGAGTGGCAAGTGACCTTGAGTTTGTGGTGTTCGGTTTATTGCATTATCTTGTGGTTGAATGTTGTTTAAGCGGAAAAACTTAATGATTCTTTGTTGTTATCAGGAATTTCGATGATGGATTTCCTAATCTTTTTATAAACAACGCTGAAAATTTGCGAGGTCAACATGTGGCCTTCCTTGCATCTTTTAGTTCTCCAGGAGTTATCTTCGAACAGCTTTCTGTCATTTATGCACTGCCGCGTCTGTTTGTTGCCTCCTTCTCGTTGGTGTTGCCTTTCTTTCCAACTGGCTCCTTCGAGCGAATGGAAGAAGAAGGGGATGTTGCAACTGCATTTACCATGGCAAGGATATTGTCAAACATTCCCATTTCAAGAGGTGGCCCCACTAGTCTAGTCATATATGACATACACGCACTGCAGGTTGTTTCACTCTTGCTCCACAATTAATAAGTATATATGTTTTACCTTGTTGCATTGAAAATATCTTATCGAAAGGCATATCATATGTTCTTTGTTATTATGAATTACTATTATTAATAGCAGGCTTCATCACTAGTCTTTCTGTAACATTTGAGCTGCCAGGCATGCCTCAAGTTGTTTTTCTCTTTGAACCATAGTTGAATTTATTCTCCAGGGGTTTCCTTCTCTCTCTCTCTCTCTCTCTTTTTGTTTTTGTCATCTACCAAAATTTAACCTCTGATCATATTCAGTTCATTGAGCATCTCAAAAACAGCATGGTTCTCATTCTCCTATTCTAATCTATACCCTTTGAGCATTTCTCAACTATTATTTTTTATTCTTTGGTGTCAAGTTAGAAGGTAATAGTTTGTTTATCTATCTTCCTTGTGCAGGAAAGATTCTATTTTGGGGACCATGTTTTGCCTTTATTTGTTACTGGGATTCCTCTGTTAAAGCAACGTCTTCACCAACTTCCTGAATCTGATAAGGTTCGTAGTACCAGAATGCTGATCACCTCTGTGAAAAATGGTCTTGTTTCTGATCATTGTGAAGATTTTTTTGTCATTGCCGTGATTATAAATCTATTGCCTCTTTGAAGAATTTTGTAGCTCAATAGGATATCTTGCTTGCCACTGATTGTGTTCTCCAATTTTAATTTCAGATTGTTGTTGCTTTTCCGGATGATGGAGCCTGGAAGCGATTCCACAAGTTGTTGGATCATTTTCCTATGGTTGGTATAATTTCTCTCAAATGGAATGAATGATATCATACACCAGTTTACATGTTGTATGGATAATTAATGTTGTTGGAGCATGAATTTCAGGTGGTATGTGCAAAGGTTCGTGAAGGTGATAAGAGAATAGTTAGAATAAAGGAGGGAAATCCTGCCGGCTGCCATGTGGTTATTGTTGATGATTTGGTACAATCTGGAGGCACCCTTATTGAGTGCCAGGTACTTGTTTTCCAGCAAACCCTATTTTTCCTAATCATTTGCTCTTCTGGATCTTTCAATTAAAAGTTGGAAAAAAATATTTCTCATTTCTTTAAGGCTTGCAATCCTTTTCTACTCAGTTCTTTGCTTTCTTTCTTTTGCTCATTCTGTTCTAAGTACCTTCCTTTTCAATCACTGTATTCTGATTTAAGAATTCAAATTCTTACCAATTTCAAGCTGACTTCTTTTGTTAACATAGGTAACCCACATATTTTGTATATCTCTGTTAACACTTCCTTTGTCATCTATATAAGTTGTGGTTTGTATAACATTCCCAATTTTCCACCTTGCTCTTTTCTCAAACTTTAAATTTTGTGGGCTTATAAATTACACGCTTCAGATTTGAACTTCATTTTTATGATATCTTGAAGAGCATTTGATCCAAATTTTGGAAACAAACATTAGGCTCAATTGTGGGAATAAAAGTTAATAAACTTCCATTTATTGCAGGAATTAACTTAATTTTAACTGCTTTTAGCTGATATTTTTCAAGAAAAAAACCATGTAACATAAACTAGTTCGTTTGTTTATAGTTCATCGGTTTGAGGGAGGGTCCTGCCTTGTTTTGCTTATGATTAAACTTTTGTGAGTGTTAATTACCATTATCATATAGGAGATCGGCAAGAGTTATGAGTGGCCATCAGTTTAAGCCTTGGCCACCATTGAGTTTGTTTAGATACCACCTTATTTTGTTTAAAATAAAAAAGGAGGAATCGCCTATTTTTTGCATATAAATTGTGTATAGGAATTGGGTTCATCTATCTTTAATAAGCAATGTATATACAACACTTGCATCTGTGTATAACCAGTTGGTCAAGTTTATTCACATTGAATATCTGCATCAATTGTGAAACTCTGGCAAATTAGCTCTTTATCCTTGCCTCTTTGTTCTTCAGAAAGTATTGGCAGCTCATGGGGCAGCAAAAGTCAGTGCATATGTCACCCACGGGGTGTTTCCCAAGCGTTCCTGGGAGCGATTTACTCACAAAGATAATGGTAAAGGCCTGCGTGTTATAAGGCACTCTTCTGTTATGTTCTTGTTTATATTTCTGCTTAACCTTTTAACTTTAAGCCAGATGATGATAGTGCCATTTTTTTCAGGCATGGAGAATGCATTTGCTTATTTTTGGATGACAGATTCCTGCCCTCACACTGTGAAAGCCATCACAAATAAGCCTCCATTTGAAGTTTTGAGCCTTGCTGGATCCATTGCTGATGCTTTACAAATATGACTTGAGAGTTACTCAAGGGGGCTTCGTATTGTGGGAACAGTTATGTGCTTAAGGGAACTAAAAGACAGTAATAAATTTTGAAGAAAGCCTGTAGCATGACTTTTATGCCACTTGAAACAGGAGGCCCGGTTGCCTAGTAAAAAATAGAGCTTAAATTTGCTCAACTCGGTGAGTTTAACACCATTCTATTGATAAGTATCCTGTCGTGAAAATGATTCCGTGATAAGAGATTTCATCTGTGCTTCATGACAAGTTCTTAATGGACCTGAGTAGGTGATTTTGCATGATGAGAGCGTGCTTTGCGGAGCAAGGCATGCTCAATGTGTACCGATAAATCATTTCGGATGCATTGTATCCATAAATGGGAACCTGAGGCAATCAATATAGATTGGCAAGCTGAAAGGACATTTTTTAAAAAAGAAACGCATTACCCACGCTTGGGGAGAGGGTTGGACGACTGTACAAGCATATACACGTTGACGAGTTTTTTCGGCGAAAACATTACAAGACAGAATGAATCGGATGCAGGGTCTGTTCATCTTCCATTCTATACAACTTATAACAGCCCTTAATCCCAGATTATCCAAATAACGTATATGCATAAAAAACATGTTTTGACATATTTGCAAACGGGCTCCAGAACCTGGTACAAAAACTCAATAGGAGTTCCCATGTACAGATCAGTGAGAAATGCCTTCATGGTGGATACTTCACTTCTCAGCAAAATATGTTATGCCTTATTCTCACCCTTGGTTAAGTAACACAAATGCGTTGCTCTACATCTGAACAAAATGCCCTCTGCCAACTGTGAGATATTATGCAGCATCCATAGCGCAAAAGTGGAGACTGCTCATCACTCAACCAGTATCGTACCCACTCTATAGCTTCTCTTCCAAATTTATACATTCAAAATGCCTACACAATGGTTAGCACTCCTGACCACCATTCAAGGCCAAGAGCAAGTTTAGGCTGTTAATTCTTCTCCGCTTTCTCATCCAGACTGTCCTCTGGGCTGTCAAACGAATCCCCAAAATAAGATCCATCAGGCTGACGGATACAAATGTTTAAATTACCAGATAGGAAAGGTTCCTGGAGGATCCATGAAAAATAAGGTCAGCGAATAGAAAATGGAGTAAAAATTCATCAAAAAAAGAAAGAGAAGAGAAACAAATGGTGTAAAGTTTTCTAACCCTTAATTTGGTCAGATATAAAATAACTAACTATTGTAAAAATGGCGTCCATCATTTTCCTCCTTGATTTCTTATTTTAAGCAAACTATGCATTATATCTACAATAAGTTCAACGATAGTAATTTGAATTACATTCCAACTGGTTGACAGAATAATCACTCAGTACTTTTCTTATCACAAGCATAAGTTAACTACAACTTTTTACCTGATCAGCAGCCTCTTGGCCCTCGGAGTGGAAGAGAATTGGGCGGCATCGCTTATCTTCATTCATTAAGCTTGAATTCTGAAAGTGTGTCACGAGGGCACCCTTGCCCTGAATTCGAGCATATGCCAGTGAAGCAACTTTTTCACTATTAAACTTCTCCCACCTCTTCCCATTAAATGCCTGGGTTCATTTTTATGCATAAGAGTCAGGCCAAAAATTGCCTGAATTTGTGATTCACCAGTCCTAACTAAACAATTTGACAATACTTTACCGCTTAAGAGTCAAAACATCCACTAGGAAAATGAAAACAAAGTTCAGTTAATGATAAACCAACCTTAATTAAGATTTTACAACAAAGATGACATGAAAGTACATATAATTTAATTATTTTAAGACAGCAATTAAGGTACCAGAACGAACCTCATAGAAGGAAATGATGTGTGAGGGAGACACCATATTGATGAAGGCATAACCCACATTGCATTTATTCTGCAACCAGGGCAGTTAAAGCATCAGCACCTTCAACTTGAACAAATTATGTAATAACAACAAATGAAAGTTCTCTGAAATATTATCACCTTAAAATCAATGGGAAGATAGAGAAAGTCATAAGTACCGCAGTGAATCTCATCAATAGCAGCCAGCAGCATCTTTGAAGTGTACCTAGAAAGGAAAACAAAAGCATAAGAAATTGCCAAGTGGCCAACTTAGTCAAAACCAAACATCTCATCTGTTTTCAAACACTCAGCAGTGCTCTACTTGTTAGGGATGTTTTTAATCATTAAAGTTGTCCTAGTATCTTCCCCGCTAATGATTTTTTCCAAATCAAGCTGATACTGCTTCTTGCAATCCATCTGGCTCCCATTATTCTCCGCTCGCCGACTTCGAACGCGTTCAACAAATCCCTCATTGCCTATTGTCACTGGTCCTGAATAAGAACCAGCCCCCATAAACATAGGATTGTGCCTGGGCAATGACATCACCCGGTAACTAGGTGAACCATTTTCAGTGAGGGGACCTGGAAGTCCGATGCCAGCACCCAGAGCTGCACGGCCACCCATCATCATATAATTTCCAGTGTTGCGGTTTAAACCCACGCCCCCCAGTGCAACTTGGTTCATGAAAGATGTCTCTGGTGATTCCGGGAAGAAGCCAAAATGCCTATCAAGAGGAAGACCAGATGGAGCAGATCCAACGTGATGGTGATGTGAACCAAGAAGAGATCCATGCCTACTGGTGTATGGAAAACCCTGTCCTTGCCCACGTGATGGAAATGCATTTCCAACAGATGATGTTGGCCATGCAGCAGAACTTCCCCAGAGAAACTGAGGACCAGTCAATGTGCCTATACCAGATGAATTTGATGTTGGAACAGGACTGGTGCTCAATTTCTGGTCAGTGAATGAACAAGAATGTTGATAGGGTGCTCCTTGCATTGATCCCGAGTTGGTAACCATCTGGTTTGCATGGTTAGCCCTTCCATGGTCCTTGCCAATTGGGGCAATCTTTGCAGGGTTAGAGACATGAGGGGGAAGAATTGAAGCCAAGCCAGGCAAATTATTTCCATTTACAGGGCTTAAAGTTCCAAGACTTGGGGACTTGCTAAAACCATGCAATGGATTGTGTTCAACTGGGCTGCCAAGCCAGGCACCTGTCACAAAAGTATCATAGATTCAGCCCATAATCCAAAAGCATTTCAACAGTACCGGACCTTGGAGCTGATAGGAAATACATAACAATAATTGAGTTCTCAGATAAGTATAAAGAAACTTAAGAAATCATTTACCTGGAGGAGAGTTCCCCACTGGGGAGCCTACTTGATGTCGAAAACTTCGAACTTCATCTTGTTCCAGCTCTTGACTTATTTGCTGCATCATGCTGTAGATAAAGGACACTCAAATTCAGGATATCAGTGAATATGACATAAATCATGCTGTGAAAGAAGATTCAAGAAATATATATGGTTTATATTTTGAAGCCCGTAATCATGAGGTGTGAATAATACCAGCAAACATTTAAGTAAATCAGTAACAACCACTCTGCAGATATGAACCCAATACAGAATGATGATTGTTACTTAAACCAAGGATCTTTAGCAATATAGTCTCGTTTTTTATCAATATAGCAATAGTCTCATTTTTTATCAATATTCTGAATGTGCTTTGCAAGGCCTTCCCATGAATTTCAGAAACTTTTCATATTAATGTCGATTAGGACTTAAAAAAAAACAATTATCTTGTCCATTTTACTTACTAAAAAGATCCTCATTAATTCTGTTCCATGGATGGAAATGGAATAGAAACTCCCCCATTTCTACTACAGGCAAAAAACTGGAATCCATAGCATTAACAATGTTAGAAATCAACAGCTAATTCCTAAACTGTGGTCAATACAACATATTTCCAGCTGATGTTTCTGGTCATGATACCCGCACAAAGTAAGTATCATTCTGCCCCTTCCCATTACTGTTTATTTTAGCATATATATGACTGTAATTTTTCTTGTCGCAACAACCTTTTCCAGAAAGAGGGAAGAGGGCACGTTTCCTACTGCACCTAATAATAGGCTTAACATAACAAAGAGGCTATGGGGACAATTTTTGTGGGAAGCGCTGAAGAAACAAGTCCATCTAAAATTGACAATTAGAACCCCATGTATTGATCAAAACTACTTTCTCGCATGAACATTTTTTTCTATTGCATTTATTTAACCAATTTGACAATGAGCAAGAATCAATTCCAACAAGAACGCAGAAGCATGAATTGCTATGCATTAGCAACATCATACTAATACTTACTTTCTACGGGCTCCACCAGGGCGGCTAGGTTCAAGCTTAATGCGCTTTCCAGCAATGTCACTCTTATTTAATGCTCTCAGAGCTGCCTCTGCAGCTCTAACATCATAAAATTCAATGAATTTATGGTGCCGCTTGTGTGGTGTTTCTCTTATCTGTATTTTGAGTAAGGGAATAACAACCCATAAAGATAATGAAAGTCTTGAAAGCTTACATAGAAGAATCATTCTAAAAAAGTAATAAATAAATCAAATAGACCATCCTAATACACACCTCTTTGACCTCTCCATAAGCCCCAAATATTAGGCGAAGATCATCATTAGATACAGATGCATCCAAATTGAAGACTACAAGAGTCCCTTGATTTATATCCTTTTCAGATGGGTTATCCTGGTACAAGGCAGGGGAATAAAATTTGGTAAAGATGCTGATGGGATCAACAATGTTAAAATCAAACAAATTTATCTAAACTCTTTCTTTAAACCTTGGGAATTGAAAAATGAATGTCCAGTTTTCTCCGCCTTAAGGGCTTATTTTGTAGCGCACGCATTGCAGTCCGAGCATCTCGAATATCATAGTAAGATATCATCACAAAGCCTCTATGCTTGCATGCAGTGTACAATGTTCTGATATCCCCAAATTGCTACAAGAATTGAGAAAGCTTGAGTGAGCACTAGGTATTGAGAAAAACTCCACATTTATTTAATTATACCTCTATGACCCCTTGCTTCATTGAAGAGTATTTAACCAAATTGATTTAATTAGCAGTAGCAGCACAATGCGAAACAAAAAATTTCATATCTATTTTACAATTTAACAAAAGCAACACTACATAAATCCAGACATCAGAACATCAACAAATACAATAAAGAGGTCAAGACATCAGTTTAAATATAATCATATAAATGCAATCAAACCATAATTAGTGATCGTCAAAAAGGTTCATCACAATAGCTAAATACAGATGCAGGTTGCACCAACTTCCACAAATTTTATATTGATTTAAAACCAGAGGGATAGTTTTTCTCAAAAATACTAAAAAAAAAAATTTCAAAAGTGA